AAAAAAAAAAAAAAAAAAAAAAAAAAACAGAAATCTGTTAGATAAAATCCCGAATCTGTGGGTAACTTGTCTTGAAACTCACATTCTTTCCTTTTTTTGCCACAATTCTCAACTGGATTTAAATTCTTGTTTTGACTGCACCATTCTAATGCATGATATGCTTTAATCTAAAACATTAAATTGTACATTTAGCCTTATCCTGCATGATGAGGAACCTCCACCCTGCTCTCCATCTTTTGCAGTATTCACTTTGCTTCGAGTGTTTCGCTGTGTTTAAATATATTTGTCTCCACTGAAGAAAAACATTCCCATAGCATTACGTAAGCAATACCATGCTTATCTACGAGGATATTTATTTTCACAGTTAAGTGCAGAGTTAATATACTAGCAAATAAGTTTACTGTGGTCTAATCTTATCCCAATGCCTTCTTCCGGGTTTTTGCTTTGTCCCTTACATAGCTTGTGGCAAAGCCAAGCATGAGATTGCTTGGCCTGAGTCATCATTTTAGAGGGTGTAAGAGTAAAGGGGGTTGGATATAAAATGCATAACACAAATTAAAGATTTCTTCCTGAAGGAACCATTAAAATCCATGTGTTATTTCCCCTCCATTTCACAGCTTTGTAATGCTGTGTTGGTCTACCAACAGGATCCTTCTAAAATACCTACAAATTCTAAGTTTTTAAATGAAAAAATGTGGAAAAGTTCATAGTGCAGTGAATACCTTTGCAAGGCACAGTTTTTATCGGTTGATCATAGCTGTCAGTGCAGTACCACAACATCGATTGCTCGAGGCATTCTCCTTTAATACGAGGCTTCGCTCGCGGAGTATTTTATTACGGCACACATTTTAATGGGGCTGAGATTAATACCTCTGTCACAGAGGTTGATTCGCCTCCCCCCCACCCCATGCCTCACATTTTCTCCCCCCAGTTTCTGCGCTGCTCTGCGGATCAGAGGCGCAGGCTTGTGGCCTTCAAATGAATGGGAGCCTATAAAACCTACAGTCAAACTAAAGTGCCGTACCCAGCTGCGTTATGAGCAGAAGTGGAGGAATGCGTCATCTCTCATATATTTCGTCCAGCCCTCGCCAGCTGCTTTATTATATCCAAAACCTCACTTCCTAACTCCCTGCTAGAATTTCCTGGTTAGATTCCTGCATCATTCCATCTACCACCAGCCAGCAGGTGTTTCTGGGTGGCATCTCTCAGTAGGCAGCCACGGAAATCAGTCAACCCGATTGAAACAGCCGTAAATGCTTGTTAATATTTTAGTTTCCTTTGTGACTTTTCTTTGAGCGGTGCTGCTATACCACTGCAACTAATTTCCTTTGAAGGGGAGACAGCTGTCAGGAGAAATAGGAGCAAAGTACAAATGGACAGCTAATTAGTTTTTTTGGCATCACACGCAAACTTTAACCACTTCCTTTCTCTCTCTCTCCTGTTTGAAATCCTCTCTCAGTTGCTTCTGATCAGTCACTCATCCCACAGACAGACAGTCTCTGTTTTGTTTCCTTGCTGGGATGCAAAGCAGTACTTTATTACAATTAGCATTGTTTAAAACAATGGATGTATGGCCCTGCCCAGTTGCTATGGTGTTGAGTAATAACTTCCATTAGAAAAATAATTGGGATGGCGTTGGCAGGCCCTGATGGCCCTTGATATGAATCACAATATTGATGTAGAGAAAGGGAGCAATAATGACTTCAATTAGTGGTAATTGTCAAGTTTTTTTCAGTTCCACAGAGTATCAGAGTCTCCTTTGTCTCTATTCCCACTTGATTTTAATTTCTTCTGTCCCTCCATTCAGTATATCTGGCATGACTCAGTGTTTCACCCCTCCAACATGATGAATATGTAAGCTTTAAGTATTTAATTAAAAGAGATTAAAATCAAGAGGAGAATTGGATTTGGATTAAGTTGGGGAGATGAGATGATGTCAGAGTAGCTTAATTGCAATATGCCACCCTCTGCATTTCGCTCATGCTCACCTGTGGGTGTACATGCGTGCACAAATCCACTCTTCGGGTTGCAGATATAGACATTTATTTTGTCCCAAAGCAGTCAAGTCAGCACCTTCTGTCGTTGCCCCACCATCTGTTTTGTCTCCCATCATTTCCCGCTTTCCAAAGGTGTTTTTTCAGAGCCCAGAGACAATGCAGCACTCTGCAGTGATATGCATGTGTATAAAGTCTCATTGCCTATTTCATCACTTCGCTTCAATATTGATGCTCTTCTTTCCCTAAATCTTCCCCACGGCCAGCATTTTGCAGGGGAAGTGGGGGGTTGCAAATGGGGATGCAAATTACTAGTTTGTGAAAGCCAGTGAGCGGATCCTCTTCTGAAGGTAACCCCTGGCTCAAAACCATGTGACTAATTGCTCGTCAAATAATTCATATTCAAACAATGGCCCCCAGTGTTCCTTCAGCTCAGCAGGAGGGGGACAATCGGCAAAGTTTTGTCAGCAAACATGGACCATGCAAAGAAAAACCAATGTCTTTGTCGCTGACTTTTTGTGCTTTCAGAAACATCAAAGATGCTCCCTGCTATTTTCTTACCTCCCATTGTCTAAAGATGTCGGTTAGCAATCAGTTTTAATTAACAGATTGTTCAAGGAAGTATCAGCAAGTGTTCAGTTTGCTCTGTGTGCATTCCAACTCAGTTCTCATTTGCAGGTGAGCAGTTGTAAGAAGCTGGTGTTAGCAAAGGTGTCTGAATGTCTGCGGTAGCCATTCAGAAGTGCCAAAGCTGGTGCATCATCCTGCCACTCTAATAAGGAACCATTAGATTTGAATAATGGGATGTAATCAGTTGGGTTTAGCATGCACCTGGATGATGAATTGCTGTATGAATGTGTAATGCTATATCAGAGCTCTCCACTTCAGACTCATACAATAAGTCTGCAATAGGAAATTAGTTACAGTTGGTTTCAAGGCTCGTCAGTCTATCAAATTAGGCATTGGGGCACTTAAACTGTGTCAATGCCAGTCCCATCCCCGGAGGAAGAAGGAGGAGGGTTGGGGGTTTGGGTTTGGCAACATGACCTGGTAAAATTCCAGTTCTGCTACTAGAATGAGAAAAGGCTCTCAATTAATGTCAACAACCAGGGCAGAGATGAAGACAAGCAGAAAAAAACACTACTGAGGAAATTAGAGTCCCAATTATCCTAATACTGATTGCCAACAACAAGAACATTACAACACCAAATTTAGAAAAAAAAAAAAAAATCAACCTTTATATGTTTCTCCAGAGGCAATAAAATAATACAGGAAATAAAGGTAAAAAAAAAAAATAAATGTTGGCACATTTATTGATACCTCTCATATCCCTTTTTTATTCATAGTTTACTTTATCTAGGTAAATATAGTTTCAAAGAAGTTTTAACTAGAAGTCCATGTTTTCTGAGGTAGAAATATGACAAGACACTTCCAGCCTGACATGGCCCATATTTTTGAGGCCGCATCAGATACCTTTTTTTATTTCTGTATTTTTTTTATGTAGCATTTCTAGCAAGATGTATTAGAAAGATAAAATAATATTAAAAGCTCCTTGCTTGGAAAAAAAAAAAAGTATCCATTAACATACCAGCCATAGCTTGCTATCTACATGGTCTGATGCTAGAAAAAAAACATTTTTTCTATTCTACATTCACAAAGGTTTATCTATGAAGCTTGGGGAATCCTACAGGGGCTTTATTTGTTGCTGTATACTTTGGTCAAATAAGATGAAGATTGATGTTTTCTGCAGCAACCACTTTATCGTATGCCAAGTCATTTTGAGTTAATTAGAAATTGTGTTTCATTAAGTTGCGTCTGTCAGATTAGAAGTGCCATCAAATACCTTTTTTCAAAATGATAAACTTAAAGCATGTGTTGAACATACTTTTGATTTAGTCAAAGTTTCTCTATCTATCTTCATCAGTCTCTTTTTTCTGTCCCACAATCACAACACAGGAAGCTTTCCAAACTCTACTGGGATTTTAATTGGAACTGACAGTTTTGGTCAGATGGGAGTAAGATTTGACTTTTTGATAGCAAACACTCCAGGTGTGAATATTTAAGAATAAAAAAATAATGTGGGGAAAAACAGAAAAAAAAAACACATGATGCTTACTGTTAAGTCTACTGGATGATCTGTAATAATGTGAGCCTGTTTCTCCTCTGAGGGCCCTGGAGACCTTATTAGAGCACAACATCATGAACTCTTTGGAATACTAGTAGAATCTAGTGGACTTTACCAGTAAACTAAAACCTGGTCATCAGTTGATCTGTCAGCATATGATAATGATCAAAAGATATGGACCTGTCAACAAAGAAATGCTTAATTTGGTACAAATCAAAGATAACTTCTTAATCTGTTAAGGCCCCAACCTTATGAAATCTTAAAGGAGAGGATATAGTCTGTCCTGCCGCAAAAGAAAATTATTTATAATGCTGACAACAGAACAAACGAATGTGGCACCAGTTGTGAAATGGCACTAAATTTTTCTACATTCTAAGGCTGAGATTATGCTGCTGCAATAGACGATGAATTTATTACGCATTTTTATAAGGAGTGCCAAGAAATGTAGCTAGCACTGAATATTTTCAGCCTTGAATTGATTAAATCGGTTAAACTACCCTGAGGCAAAATAGCCGTTGGTACATGAGATGGCAAAGGATGAACGGTGATGATTATTATCATTCTTATAATAATCGTAGAGTGTTTTTGCTCATAAAAACCTATTCAGACAGAATCCTTCAGTGTCATCTCTGTCTTCCTTTCCTCTCTTTTCCTCCCCCTCTCTGTTTTTTTCTGTCATTCTGTCCATATGATGAATGGGACGTAAATGAGCGATGCGTTAAGTACCTTATTTTGAAAGACTCTATCCTAGGAGAGTTTTGAATTTATCCTTTTTTTTTCTAACTGCAGACATTCCCTATGCTCTCTTCTCTCTGTGCTTTTTGCTCTTCATCATACAGTCCTTGCATCACTATATGAACATCCATCTTTCTCTCCCACAGCCCGCTGTCAAGCAGTGCAAGCAGAGAATGTGACAGTCCTGGAGGGAGGCACTGCCCAGATCTCCTGTCGCCTGCAGAACTACGATGGCTCAATCGTGGTCATCCAGAATCCCCGCCGGCAGACTCTGTTCTTCAACGGCACACGAGGTGTGTAGCTGAAAATCTGTCTGTGGATACATTTGCCATCACTGATATTAGAGGAAGTCTTTTATGGAAACATTGCTACTGACACCCATGCCATTTATGCCAATTTTTTTTTTCAATTTTAACTTAAAAATCCTTTCATATTAGGAATACAGATAAAGTTAATTCAGGTTTACTCTAAACTTTAACAGTGTGATGGCTTTAAAAGCCTAGTTTAAAGCTTTCCACATAATCCAGGCTTAACCCTACTGATGGAATCAGAGCTTATTAGAGTCCTCATTAGAGCACAACCTTGCACATTTTTTAAGCAGCTTCATGGTAAATTACCATTGTAACCAATATTATAATCAAGGCACATTTAATTTGCATCCTCGGGGTAGGCAAAGACTAGATGTTGTTACTTGCTAATTAAATGCAAGGGCAAGTTGCTACCTTCTCCAGATTCTTTGTAACTGCTGCTAGGAAACCTTCGAGCCACAAAATAGTGATCAGCGATTCTAAGTGTTGCCTTTGAATTTCTATTTGTGGCTGCTTGAATGAAGCAGAAGTAACGTTATGTTTTGTGGCACAGCAGTACATTCTCATGCACCTCATATTTTTTTGATAAGACATTGTAATGGGATATGAAAAATAAATTATTTCAGCTGTAGGGCAAGTTTCTGGATTTTGTGAGTTCCAGACAATTAAAAATAAGAAAACCTAGCTGCTTTCTGCCCATCTGTATCTCCTCCAAACTTGAACTTGAAATCAGGCAGAACTGGGAAATCAAAATGTTTTGCCTTTGATTGTTATTTTGTGTGTGTTTTTATTTTTTTTCCACAGTCTGTTATTTTGCAGCTCGGTTATATTTTTCCTGACCTTGTTTCTTTTAAACTAACTCTCAACTTGTAAATCTTTAATTTTGTTTGTTTAATTTTCCTCCCAGTCAAATGTTTGAAATCTACATGTCTTCTTTGTATCTTTTGCACTTTTCAAATACTTACACAATGAAACTGATTATATGCAGTGTCTGACAAAAGTAATCACAACCCTAACGTTTTGGTTTTTTTTTGTTTTTTTTTTTTAATCTAACTGAAATCTTTAATGTATTTTACTGGGATTTTATGCTACAGATATATTCACAACAGCATATAATTGTGAAAAAAATATGGGTTATGGGTTTTACAAATAAGAATTCTGAATAAGATTATGAATATTCTCACATTTAAATGTATTTGGCTTGCTTGGTAAAATTGGATGATGAGTATATTTAAACATTTTTGATCCAGAACAGAAAATTAGATTTGATCTGTTACATTATATTCTACCTCTGGTTTATGTTTAGTCTCTTTCTCCCATTAGACGTTGAACTTCAACAGAAATATCAAGCATATTTCAGCATCAACACTCTTTTCCATAATAGCAGATTAGTGAAAACTTTTAGTTGTTTTTTGCAGATGTTCCCACTTGAGCTGTGGAACGCTGCATCCTCCCTAAAGTTACCAAAGTTCTCCAGGCCTTATCTCTGATTAATGCACGGTGTGTCTAATCTTTCATTTTGTTGGACAACAATGTTTTGGTAGGTTTGCTAGTATTCCATACTCTTTACACCTTTGGATACTGTGTTGGATATTTATTCTATATAACCTAACACTGAGTAAAATTTCTAGATTTCTGTTACGCATTTCATGGTTTTAATTATTATCGTTTAATTGTGATTGTTGCGCTGAGAGGTGTGGTGTGGAAGGAAAATTTAGCAAAGTTGCTTGGAGCAAAAACAAAAGGTGATTTATTAGGTCTCTTTCATCAAAGAATGGTTATACTTTGATCAAAATGGCAGCTTTCCCATCAGGCCCTTACTGAAGCCAGCAGTCCACCTATATACTGTTATCCCCACCTTCTCAATTTACCCTTAGCCAATCAAAGTTCAGCCATCATGGCTCCCTCTATAAGAGAGCTGGGTTTGAGGCGGGCCTCCTCCAACATGGCTTCTAAAAAGGAAACACCCACAAAAGTAACAAACAATTCAAAAACAAAAGGATCATATACACACACATTCTAGAACCCGAACATTACAGAAAATCTTATTGCTTCTTAACAGTGATCTCTACCAAACCTCAGATACTTTCATAGCATAGATGTGTTCATATTGAAAGGACTTTGGGCACAAGTGGATTCCCTTCGCAACTTCTAAGGGCAGTTGGTGGTAACCAAAGCATGGCTCACTGCAAAAACATTCTGAAAATGACTAAAAACTTCTTAAAATAAGTGTATCTACCCTTAATTTGAGTAGGAAAAATAAGATGATTTGCCCATGGAACAAGCATTTCTACCCTCTAAGATAATTAGATATTATGAACTTGAAATAAGAGACTGCAGTTTTGTTTTCTTATTTTAAATGTAAATTGTCTTATTCAATTCTCGCACTTTTTGTTTTTTCCTCTTCATTTGAAGGAAATTTGGGTGTCCATGTGAAATTCTAACCTGACAAACCACATTGATAATACGTAGCACTCAGATTTAGTGCTACATATCATTAATCATGAACTGTTTCCATGCAAAACTGTTAGGGAAAGCAGGGACGTTCTTTTGAGGTGATTGGGTGACACGATATCTAATACCTGCCTACCCAAGTTTTACTTTAGCCTGTCAGGGTAACAAATGAAATAGCAGCAGATGCCATGAGAAACCACAACAGCTTACACTTGTACGGTCCTGTTTATCATATAATGAATTGTGCCAAAACAGATGTGATAGCAGCAGGTACGTCTTGTCCTCCTGCTCTGCCATGTTTATTTTGATTTTTCTTTGGACTCAGCTGCTCTTGCTTTTATCACAGGCTCCCAGCAACATGTCCCGCCTTAAACCATAATACTACCATGTGATTGGCCCACAGGTTTGGGTCAACCTAAAGGATTTAAGTTGAGGCAGAGGAGTCATTCTCATGTATTTGGGAACTAATAAATCCAGCTTTCAGGAAAGGTGAATGAATTTTCCTTCTGATTCCCAATTATTTAATAACAAAAAAAAAAAAATCACATGGTGGGTATAAATACAGTACTTTTTCAGAGCACTTTGCCAATTAGCAATCAATCATAAAATGTCACCCTTGAAACCTGAATTAAACCTGAAAAAGTGCACCAAGCTATTATGTGAGAGTGAATTCAGGGTGTTTCAAATGAGGTGTTATCTGGTCTCAGCTGGTCATTATGTTGCCTAATAATTTCAGCCCATTCAAAGCCCAAGTCCTAAAAATAAGATGAATCATTATAAACCTTGTGTGGCTGAACTGCAACCAAGAGGAATATTGGTAATAAAAGTGAAAGGCAGGCTTTTTTTAGTAGATGGCAGAGTATTAAAGATCTGTCAAAGTGAAGAAATCAAGATACTGAACTCAAAAGCGAAAAATGATGGAAAAGCATTTTAAAAAATCATCGTCTCACTTTGATATATGGCAAATTTCTTCTGGCTTGACAGAGATTTTGTACCATCAGAAAAAAACAGCATGTTTATCCAAGTGATTACAATAACTCTCTCATAAGCTTATAAACTGCAAATTAGCTTAACCTTGTCATTGAAATATGCAAATAAACGACTACTTGTAAAAATATTCAAACTCCAAATAGCCGCTTAAAAACCTGTCCTTCATAGTTAATATGTAATTTCTTAATAAGTCAGAAAGTATTAGAGGTTTGTAGTCAAGGTCAATTTTCAACAGTATTTCTTTCACCTTCCAACCATAAAATAAATTGTTGCTCAATTTTATCACAAACATAATCTCCAAAAGTTATACAGTGCAGCTAAATTGGAAACCTCAAACCTTCTCTGAAAAAGCACTAACTAACCTGGCAGCTCACTAATCTGCAAAGTCCTCAGTGCTGATTTTTATTTGTTGTCTTTTTTTTACAGCACAAGGAGATTTTCTTTCTATTTCCAAAGGGCAGATAATTTGTTTTTCTTTATTTTTTCTTATCTTGCTTTACCCATTAAAACTTGTAAGTGATTATGATTTGCAGTAGGATTGTTCCAGTCATTTTATTGTGTGACAGGTGGTAATTTTCCATGCTTGATTTAGAGAGGGTGGAAGAAAGAAAGACTGCTGTATCTGAACGTTGCTGACCTCAAGCGTACCATGCAATATTTTTTCAGCCTTAATCTGGCACAGTTTACTCAGGCCATACGTCTTAACTGCCAGTCAAGCATAATTTCATTTCATTCATTGATTAAAACTGAAAATTGCACACCAGCAGCCACTAAATTGCCTGAATGTTTAAACATTTATTAACATTCAGCTCAGCAGAAATCATAAGTTAGTCTGTGATTAGATAGCATTACCTGCAAGGGTGCCACGTGACAGTGCAAGAGGTCCAGAAGCAATGCATAATCCAGTCTTAACCTCATAAAGTGTTATCCAGCGTTATAAATACATGATCAGATTCCCTTTTTTCCAAAACTTTCCATGTTTTGTACTATTTGGGGTAACCAATTATAAGGTTTACCTCTTTTCTGTCTTTTATAATATTTACAGTCAACGTTGCAGTTGGTGTGTGTTTTCCTCTCAGTCCACAGACTGCAAAATGTAGACAGGTTAACCTTGGTGAACAATACTGCAGGTGTTGTCAGGGGGGAAAAGGATATAGAAGGGACAGTAAGGATTTTATTTAGTATGTGCATACAGCATGTGTGGAATTGAAAATTAACTCCTTTGTTTATTATTTGAAAAACAGAATTAAAAGGAAAACATGGAATGAATAAAAGCACTGTTGATGTACCAACTTGTGATTTTGGTTATTACCAAAATAATCATAGGAGATAACTAGATATTATCTCTTAAAGGAAACTAATATGAGCTATTTTTGTTATTATGCATTATTTTATATTATACATCATAACATACATATTTTCAGTATATTTGTCCAAATTGAAAAATTCAGGGTCATAATGTTTTAAATATAATTACATATGTGTGTGTGTCTGTGTCCATTTGTGTTTATGAGCAAAGCCCTTGGTTTCAAGCTGCCTTA